ATGTAGAAGTAGCCCCCCGGGTATTTATACCAGTAGAAGCATTTGTTCTTTAGCTTGGAGGGTTGTACATAGGAGCATGCATTGGGAGAAACCATTTTATTACAGAGAGGGCCACTTACCTGATAATTAGTCTTTGTATAGTTATGGCCACTATGTGCCATGGACTTATGACAAAAAGGGAAACAATGAATATCCACATAAATAAAAACAACATTATGAAACATTCTAAGAGTACATTTTACACATGAGAGTACTCAAAGGCCAACTATTTCTCACTATATGACATGTGAGAATAATAACGAAGATACTATTCAATGATGCAGCATTCCACAACAAAACCTCATCTATACTAGCACACAGAGTAGAAGTATTGTAAGCAAGATTTAATCAATACCTTGTGTATAAGACATGCCAGTCTGGATTGCTCTGATCTCAAATAATACAGAGCAACTGTCCAGAAGTTGACTTCCGCCTCATCACCAAAAAGTCTAGCAGTAAGAAGGCATCGCTGTGAGATACCATTAGGGCAGTACGGTAGAAAGTGTTTAACATCGGCTGGCATCACTTTGAACTGATCATTTACCATGTTTATTATCTCATCACCATCCGGCATATCCCTGCTTGACAAGAATAGGAAAAGGAAACATGGTTAAACTATGTATAATCTGGTTACACATTTAACTGAACACATAATTAAAACATGCATGATATTTTATAAATATACTCATGCTGTCAAATCACAATAAACTGGTACATGATTGTATGTCAGCACATTGGTTGTGCAGGGCTGTCAAATGACACACAACACAAATATATTTGTCCAGAAAGTAGCCCTTCAGGTGCAATTTTGACATTGATTCAGTTTTTGTTGTGGTATCATTAGCAGTATTTTGTTATTTTCATCAGAAATAACAGATATTTATTATTGAAATGAGTAAATTTTACTGGGCACTGCATGTTACATGTACCAAACGCAGTACTAATATAAACATTACACAATGAAGAAATATAAATGATGACATGTATGGTAAATGACAACCTGCAATCTTAGCAGTAGGTACAGCCAAGATGGCAGGTATACATTGTGAACAGATGATAAATCATACAATGAGAGATTGTTACCATGGAAATGAGGGGTTATTCAATCATTTCAACTGTCATTCTCTGAATAGATTTGAGATATTTTCACTAAATGTTTTGAGTAAAATCTTCGCTCACATGTTTCAATTAACTTATTGAGGATGGACACAGCTAACACACTTTTGACAGTGAAAGTTTTCGGAAGAAAAAACTTTCGAATTAAGAACCTCAGGTGCATGCATTTTCAATCCAAAATGACCATCAGAGTAAGAATTTTTAAACTCATAGTTGCTGTCGACATAGGAAGTAAAGTAAGCAAATAACACCGAATAAACGGCAAGGTAAAGACTATGTCTAATTATAGTAAATACGTACTGCGTGCGTGACTCGAACCGGCGCTCGCGTACGGCACCTAATCGCCTAGCTTCACGCCACTAC